TCATAAACTACATACAACAAATAAATCTGCAAAAATTTGAACGTATACTCTATGAGCGATGCTATTGTTGTTGTATAAAATACGATATAATTGACCACGCCTACTTTATGTTATAGTATATCAAAGATACCTTTTTTTTTAGTACCTTAATAAGGCGCAGAAACAAGCTGCAAAAACCCTATGAAGTATGAAAATTCTTGACCAGTCTCACAATTTGGAAAGCAGCTAAGCATGTCTGCCATCGTTCATCTGTCCATCTGGCTGTTTACCCAACTTTATAATATTTGCAGTAAACATTCTCTCGTTCGCAAAAATGAAGATGAAGACTAACAAATTTTGAAAAGAATTTCGGACGGACGAGAACTTTTCCAGAGGGCATGCTTTCAAAGTCCACCTATGCCTATGCGACAACAGAAAAAAAAAATTTGTCTCACCCACTCCGAATTGCAAAAACATGAAAATTTACTTCTTTTAGTTTTTTTTGTCCTTTATAGGGTAACGGCGATGATTATAAAAGATTCGGTCACAAACGAATATAATTTTTTATTTATTTTTCTAGAAACAAATATTGAATTGAAAATACGTTAGAGACCAGCATTTGAAGCCACCATATATGGTGGTATATGCAGCTCTCAAAGTGGTATTCATTACAATGAATACCTTAGATTATATGCATAGATGATAGTTTCCAAGAAATGAAAGCCATTTGTAAGCAAAGTTAGTAGTATTTCGCAAAATTCCACGTAAATGATGATAAAATTTTTTTTTTGGAAAATCGTAATTTTTAGTGACAAGTTTAAGTTTGATATGATGGTATGAATGTAATGGTAAACAAAGAGTACACAGGGCACTTAATAGAGCGATGACATTCGAAAATTTATTACACACAGTAAAGCATCAAGGGCGGGCCTATCATGGTCCGAGGATGAATGTCTATGAATGGTTACGAAAATCGTTGAATCTTAAAACATTTCGATTGGGTTTGGGTGAATACTACTTGACTTATATTTGTCTGATGCAATGTATTGCGCTCCGTAAGGTTGTTTGATGAGCCTGATGGATGTGGGCATTTGAGTTACAGTAGTTTTCTATATTACTTTGAGTAGGTGAATGACAAATTCCGATTGGTTTTGCTATTTCTTCGTAGGATGTTTCCCCCACTTCTTAACTTTATATTCACATTTCCAGCCTCTTAGGAAACTTTGTTGAGAATTTTATGTTAGGTGTTTGCTTTTCCACTTGAAAGAGCCATTTATTGTGGAAAATTGGTGCAATGCATGTTAATCAAAGTGGAATCCATCAAGATCCTACAACATTTTGCAATATTTTTGGCAACATGGCAATATCGTGTCGAAAGAACTTGTATTGGTTTGACAGCGATCCACTCATCGATCCACTTTCGACCTTTTTCAACTTTGCGGACCCGCGTGCCAGCCAAGCCGTACTGCACTGATCTGAACAAGTGGTAATACAATATTGCCCTTAGGAATAAGGAGCACGCCATCAAGTTACTTACAGTCGCCACAACAATCTTCTCCCACTCCGGCAATATTTTAAGTTTAATTTCCTTAAGTATGGAATACTACTTAGACTTTGAGAATATGTTGGCGGGAAATATTCCTCAGAGATCCTCAATCGAGTTCAAATTCGGATTCACGGATGGCCGCACTAGTAACGATAACTTACGTGATTGAAAAAATCCTTCGTCAAAGATACGAGATAGATGGGAGCATTGTCTTGTTGGAAAGCCCAATTATCACCACATAACCTTTCAGGAGAGTAAAGAAATAGTTCTCTAACAATTCATTAGAAGTCTCCTCGTTTATTTTGTTGGGTACAAACCATGTTTTTAACTATCTTCGTTCTCTAAATGCAGCCCACCGTCATAGCTACACTTGCAATACTAATCGAGGAAGTGCTGCATCCCTCCATTCCTTTTGGTGACCATCAGGTCTGTCCAAATTAAAATTTTCTTCAACGCTAATATATAATAATTGCAAACTCTTTCCCCCGAAATTTGTATTTGTTGACAAACACAATATGGGAAATTTTTATGGCGCTAGGTTAAGCATGATTTGGTAATTTTGTGTTCATATCTAAGATCAATACCATCCTTAAGAAGTTGTTACGTAAGCTTACTCCTTACATTTAGGCCTAATCGTACATTTATTTCCCTGCAATTTATATTTTCACCAGTTATTAACTGTTGAGTATGCGGCTATTGGTCTTCTGGCTGGGATGCGTCTAACGCACTTGATACAATCATAATTGCCAGTGTCTTTTAGATACTTTGAAATCGTACAGCCGGGTCGAATTAGCAAAGCAATTGCTTTCACGCCAATTTTCTTACCTACAAATCGCATTCCTTCAAATTTCCCACGCTTATCATCGGAAAGTTCACTACTACGTGGCAATTCTCAAGTAACGCGAACATTATGAACACAATTATTCCTTAGCAAATAATGAGAATGCCTTGATTATTCACATACGAGAAGATATTTTGTATAAAACAAATTCAGTGGCAGAAACTTGAACGATGATCATTGAACTTATAATTATATTGTATTGAATTACAAATTTATTCGGATAATTTTAGACAATTGACACCAAAGGTAAAGCCGAAGGAAGGAGAAAGTACCTGATTAGAAGAGCGTGTATATTATAAAACTGTGTTATTCTAAATTCCTTATGAATCCTCTGTAGTGGAAGTGTGCATATATTTTCTATTCTCCTTGGCTTTTACTGCCAAGACTGTCAATCTTTATAATGGCAAAGTGAATTCGGCAAAGAACGTCACTATAATTAAAAGAATTCAATTTTTAATTTTTCTGAACACCTCTCAAATGCCAAGGCAAGCTCGTCCCGAAGTCTCAATATTGGATTCTTTCCTTTATTAATATTTTGGTGATTATACACCAAATTATTAGCCTACGTTTATTAACAAAATGCAATCCAGCATTTTCGCAAACCCTGCCATTGGTTTTGCTTATATTTTTTTTCATACAGTGATGTGTTTTGACCCAAGAACGAACGCTCTTGAAAATGGTTCGGATCGGTCTACTTTTTCGAACGCTTCCCATATAACGCCTCCGTATGGGAAAAGTTGCAATTGCGAGATCCGGTCATATACTTTCTTTCTTTTATCAACATATCAGTATATCTGTTTGAGATAGACCTACCGTTTACTATGCGGATTATTTCAGAATCATTTTTTGAGTTAATCTAAACTTGTCTGTCCGTCTTATGTCTGTCCAGTTATTCTGTAGGTCGCGGTTTTCGAGGTATTTTGATGAAAATTGCTACACTGACGGCCCAAGAACGAAAAATGATTGAAAATGGTTAGGAACTTTTTTGAAGTCTTCGCATATAACGACTCATTTTGATTAGTGGCTATAAAAAAATTAAAGTGATTTCTTGCAGTCTAAATTCTTCTGAAGTCTTTGAATCGGACGGGGTCATTTTTTGAACCCCTTGCCATATAACCGTTTCTATGGAAACTAAATCTTTTGGCATAATTTTTAATACTTCTTGATGATTTGACATTAAAACTAACCTTAATCAGTTTGGATCACGTAGGTCTATTCCTTCGATCCCAATCCATTCTAATGAATAATAAGAATTTATCAGCCAGAAAGATCTTATTTTTAATGTTTTATAATGAAACTTTTTGCCCTTAGTAAATCGTCCATAGGGAATTTGGGTCATACAGATCTATAAAGGCTGCCGTGAAAGCCAACCCTTCTACGCTAACAGAGCCTAATTTTTGGCTTATGACGCCAGCCACGGGAAGATAGTAAAAGCTTTAATAAGTAAATTAAGTTTTCAAAGTTTAGATCACTTTGACTTTTGACGAACCTCCGATATCAAGACTCTCATGAAAATTATACATTTAGATAAAAATAATGTGTCGTTAGTTACGCAAAGGGATGTAGAATATCTAGGATTGGCCTTGCCCGATTATTTTATTCTTCCCTGTTTGTATTTAGTTAGAATGATTCGGGTTCAGTAGCCCTACCAAGATGAACGTTAATAGTTTCTTCTGCTTTAAATAATAAGAAATTTTGGAATCTTAAACCCTCCGAAGATGATTTCATTTATGCAGTGGTTGCTCGATCATTTCTCGCTGTTCAAATCGAATTTCAAAGAAGTGCTTGCGGAGCCTTCAAGAAAAAAGGTCGTTCTTTGCGCAATCACGCTATCTATCAAATTCTTGGAGCCCTCGCTTCTCAAATCGAATTTCAAAGAAGTGTTTAATAAGAATTGAGAAAATGGTCGACTTTTGACTAATTACAAAATGCTTAGTTCTTCTTCTTCCTTTTTTTATAAAATTTCCAATGTGTTTTTACAAAGAGCTCATCATCAATGCTGTTAAGTAACTATTAAACAGTCTTACAATAAAAAACAACAAAAAAAAAAGGAAATTAAAACAAAATAAAACAAATATTTATTAAAAAGTACAAAAAACAAACAAAAAAAAAACAAAAAAAAAACTTTTTAAAAAAGCAAAGAAAAGTACAACACAATGACACACAGTCGTGAAAATTTACGTTTAAGTTTGCACGATTTACAACAGTGTGCCACGACCTTAGTAACAACAAATAGTTGCAGTGGTGGTAGCTCAAGCGTTTCACAGTCAATGACCGTAACAGCCGCTCAGGCCATAAACACAGTAGCGAATAGATTGAATAAAAGTGTCGTTTGTCAAAGTGAGAAATGCGAACGTCTAAAGAAAATGACATCGATAACGTGTTCGGATTCGGAAGATGATTCAGAACGACGCATACAAATGGAGGCAATGAATAAATGGAATTCGAGTGGTTACGAAGGAGTAAGTTAAAAATCGATTTAGGCAAAGGGATTTAAAAATGGAAGCAAAACAGAAAAAAAAAAGAAAATAAGAGTCAATAAATTATGCAATTTGTTATCTTAAGTTTATTTTTATATTATATTCAATTTGATTGATTTTGTTTCGGATCGTTGACGGCACTCATCTTTTCCAGGATACACGCACGCATATAGTACAAGAGATTTTTCGCAATGAACAATCATACGTGGAATCATTACAGACTGTGATCTGTAAATATCTAAAGGTTTTGAAATTACCAGAGCATGCCGGCATGATTGAGGTGCGTACAGTCGATGAGATTTTCTTTATGGTACCGGATATTTTGGAAATACATGAGAAATTTCTAGCTGAATTACGCAATCGTTTAGATAACTGGGATACTCAACAAAAAGTCGGCGATGCATTTATGGAAACGGTAAGGAACACACTATAAGGAACAATTGATGTTCAGGTTAAAGAATCCAATTTCATCATCCATTTTTTTTCCAGTTTTCCAAATTGGAAGTCTTGGAAGTTTATACATCATTTGTAAATAATTGCAATAGAGCTAAGAACGCGATACGCAGTACGAAACACCAGAGGCCATCGTTTGCGAAATTCCTCGAGGCGACCGCTAGAGAGCATAAAGGCAAACTGACACTGGATAATTTACTCATCAAACCGGTACAAAAGTTCCCAAAGTAAATCGAAACGCATAAACGAGGATATATGAAGGCTGCTTTAATGCAGATTTTCCTTTTTTTATCTCGTTCTCTTTTCTCAGCTATGAAATGCTTTTTCAAAGACTTATCAAACACACCGATCAGGATCATCCCGATCAGAAGCATTTACAAGATGTCTTAAAATTAGTTCATGACATCTTGGTGCATATTAATTGCAAAGAGCGTGAAATTTTGGAGAATGGCCAGCGTGAGGCTACGCTTAGAGAATTGGAAGGCGTAATTGAGGGTATAACCGATTTAATAGCACCCGATCGTCAATTTCTTTTATTCGATTTGGTTGCTATGCCTTCGGGTCAGGGGGCGAGAAAAGAACGTGGATTTTTTCTTTTCAATGATCTCTTGGTCTTAACGAGTATTAAGAAACGTAGCGGCACTATACGTAAACCTAATACGTAGGTTTTTTTGTTTTCTATCTAAACGCAATACTTTACCTTATGTGGAATTAATTTTTCATTATCGTAATTTTAGAAGCACATGCCCCGGTACAGTGGCGTCGACTTTGGATACTAATAAATATAAATTTCTTACCAAAATCTCCTTAGATAGTTTGGAAATTGTGAAAAGTAAGTTTGATTTTTTCTCGCACGATTTACGATCGACGATTTCATATTCCTCTTCTCTATGATCTATTTCTCTCCTTCAATTTGTTTTTGTCTCAATTCCTATCTAACTATGATTTGTTGTTCAAGCAAAAGATGAGAATCTAAAGCGTATAATGACAGAAATTGAAAATCTGGCCGAAGACTGCAATAAATTGCAACAGATTGCCGAAATAACTGCTTCTCTAAAGTACCCTCATCAATATTTAGAAGACGTAATTAGAGAATTGCATCGTGACGTGCAACGTCAATTATCGGAGAGACAAACTAATGATGCTCAACTCAATATGCTCGAATTGGGCGTAAATTCACCGTAAGTTTGTTTGAAGAGGAGCGCAAGTGAAGAACGTATTTTTGTGTTAATTTCCATACTTTTTCAGAAATGGTTCTCAAAAATTAACAATTGTTTTTAGTAAGGCTGAAAAACGTACCCAATGGGAAGAAACTTTTAACGATGCCAAACAAAAGTTGGGTAAGTTTGGTTTAATTAACCTAATATTGAATTTTAATTGAATTTCCATTACTTTTTAGCCGCCACTTTGGAACGTCATCCCATACCTGAATTCCTGACTTCGATACCTATACGTAAGACTCGAGCTGGCCTACAGTTCACCTGCGCAGCTGCTACTCTTAGCGAGAAACGTGATGTATGGGTGTGTAACAGCGACGGTTATGTGGGTCAGGTATGCATTATGTCATTGCACCCGGAACCGAATGTCACCAGTTGTAATGGCGTTTGTAACGCCCGTATATTGTGCGTGGCATCCGTGCCAGCTTATAGTGGCGGTTCAATGTTTCTGAAAAATCCTTCATCGAATGAGGATCCATTGCAACAAAATCGCAGTTCATTGCCTCCGAATAGTTATACGCAACAATTACTCGATTATCGTAAAAGTATATCACCAAGTTACTCACCCTCGTCAACGTTGGGTACACCTGAAAAAAGACGGCACAATAAATCTCTTTCATCCGGGGGTAGCAGTAACTCAACAAATAATTCTCAAGTGGCGGGCGATGCAACGGGCGAGGTACAAGTAGAATTGAATTTAAGTTCTAGTGATGAAGAGGCTGATGCTGCTGTTGCAGCTGCCAATGCGGCTGCGATTGGCAACAACACCATCTCAACGCATATGAATATTGGAAATGCTGGCGGCTCATATTCAGTTGACCGCGTACCAAGTCCCGCTCCTTCTGCATATACCACTGGTTCTACTTCAACCGCATCAACGGCCATTGTAGGTAGCAGTACTACGTTATATCATGGGCATCAAGTGAGTGTGGATGTCAGTGGTGAATTTCAGATATCAAATAGATTTTCATTTTTTTTTTTTTTTTTTGTTCAGGACTCGAATCCGGAGGATGGCGATGGCAATCAATCGACTATGTGGATCGGCACGGAAGATGGTTGCATACATGTATATAATAGCACGGATAATATACGTATTAAAAAGAATCGAATCAAAATTGAGCTTCATTCAGCGGTTTATTCCATTTTGTAAGAATTTTGAGAAAATCGTCAAAAGTTATATATGTATATACATAAAAGAAAAAATTATTTATATTTTTTATAGGTATTTAGATAACCGTGTCTTTGTTTCATTAGCCAATGGAGATATTTGTATCTATTTACGTGACGGTCTCGTCTGGAATACAACGTCATCGCATTGTTTATCAATTGGTACCGTAACAAGTCCAGTTACGAAATTATTAAATGTTCACGGTAAACTATGGTGCTCGGTACAGGGTGTCATTAAAATATTGGATGTCGATGAATTGGCCGTAAGTGAAATGAAAAGCGATTTGAAAAATTTTAAAAATTTTCAATTTCTCAAACACTGTTTTGACAGGTTGTTAATCAAATACAAATCTCATCGGATTCTAAACCTATCACAAATATGACAGTTTCCAGTAATCACGTTTGGATATCAATACAAAATTCTGCTCATATCAAATGCTTTCATTCCAACACGTAAGTTGAAATATTAGCGAAAGTTTTTTGGTGATTTTCATGTCCCTAGGATATAGTAATGCCCATCTGGCCACATATTGGCCTAACTGCCGTGTAAAATTGCAAAGCTTGTTTATAATTTTTCAACCTGACCGAGAAAATGTACAACTTTCATCTAAGTCACTCTCTGGCTGAAAGATTGAAACGGTCCATCCAGGACAATCTTGCTTTCAGGTAACCTCTGGGGTTGCTCTCAACAACCTCGGTTTCTTGATGATAAAATTTTGCATTCGTGGAAGAACTGAACACCAACGAGGAACTACAAGAAAGATATGTACAATTCTGTGGTACAACGGTGCCGCAATATTTTTATTAGACCTAGAAAATCTATTGTATACACCCATGTCCGTAGCCCGTCGATGTTAGAGCTATTATAAATCCCTCCAACTCGGTTGGATCGGAGCACCATTCCGTGTCAGGCGTTGCAAATTGCTCGCCAAAAACATTCCGTAGAATATGATGAGAGTTCTTCCTCGACTCATGTTTTTCAGATGGTACCTGAGAGAATTATGATCGGTGTAGAACCAAACCTAGGTCGCATTTTCTTAGTTCAATCAGTTTATGTGCCACACCGGAAGATTTTTTGAGCTTTTTTATCTGCATTTGTCGTGCATAATGCTTCCAGCGACAATAGGGTTTCTTCTACGCGCATTGCGATACCAGCCTCTTAATATGATTTCCTGGACACAGACAGGTTCAGGACTTAACGTGGTCTCTCAGACTTTCCTGTTGGATAGAAAGTCAGCAAACTGAACACCCGAATGGCCAGGCACCCATATAAGGTGTACATAGTTGCACCTGCCTAGCTCATGCAGGATTTGAAGGCGCCCCAATATAAGCCACAAAACCCAGCCCCAGTTTTCTCCTTTTCCAATTTTGAACCGTCGGTGTATACATCCCCCGTTTCTACCCTAGGTTGAAAAGCTCGCCCATCCCAACCCCATCTCGCCGGCGTGGTCACTCTGACCCGGTGGGACAGTACTAGCTTTGCAGCACAGTGGTTTGGTATCTTGATAAAAGTTTCGTCCATGAGGCTTTTTAATACCTCCAGACGGCCCCTAACATTTCCCGCCACGGTATCACATATAAGTCCACGTTTTAATACGATTTTAGTTCGAACAATTACCTAAGAAGTGCTCCCTATTAGAATCAGCTGACTTACTTGTCGGGATCGGGCCAGTTTTTCTTCCACTTTCCATATAATGCCCCATTTTTTTTCTTTTTTTTTTGTCTTTTTAACTATTTTTCTTTCTTCTTGGTTCAGACATCAACTAATAACGGAAGTAAATTTGGCACCGGCTGTGAATAAAATGCTTTCCAATTGTGATGAAATTATACGTCAACATAAAGCTGCTTGTTTGCGAGTCACGTCATTGTTATCGTGCAAGGATCTCATATGGATTGGAACCAGTGCTGGTGTATTATTAACAATACCATCTCAAGGCTATGAAAAATCTACAAATAATAACATTGTGCCTACGGGCATTCCACATGGCCATACGGGTCATGTACGTTTCCTTACATCTGTTGAAACCAATAGCAGCAGTACTGGTAGTAATGCTGATTCCGTAAATACTAAAGAGTCAATTGGCGTTGGTGGTGGTGGTGGTGGTGGTAGTGAATCATCAAGTACAAGTGGTTCGAAGTCACCTAAACCGAAAACTGAGACCAGCTCAAGTAATATACTTATCATTTCGGGCGGTGATGGTTATGAAGATTTTCGCAATTCGGGAGCGAATTCCTTAAGTGAAATTGCTGGACGCGAAGATAGTACTAATCATTTGCTAATATGGCAAATTTGAAGCAAAAAGTGTAAGAATCGCTGGCGCGTCTTACTTAAACGTTGGAAAAATAATAACTAGCGGCAGGTAAGACTGTCAAGTGATTTCTGGGCAGTTAAATTTTAAAAATAAAAAATAAGAAAAAACAATTAAATACAAAAACACAACAGTAAACAGGGTATTCTGCAATATATTCAACTAATTTATAAGGTATAGACTTTTTTTTTGTTTTTGCTAAAGCGGCAACGAGAGATTCATAATTGCCTCTCATTGATTATTTGTAAATGCATTTTTTTTTTTAATATTCCTTTTTTTTTTTTAATTTTTCTTAAAGTTTGAAAAATAGACCGATGCAAGTTTAAAAAAATAAAAATGTTTATTTTAAACAAATAATAAAAAAATTAAAAATAAAAAAAAAAAAGCAAAACCAAGTGTCAAAATATGTGCCAAATGTGTTTCCTTAAAGAGAATATTAAAAGAAAAAAAAAAAACAAAAAAAAAAACAAAAACAATATATACATGTACATTTTTTTATATGTAAATCCAGACGTTTCGTTTTTTAAGTGACCGAAATGAAAATGATAAATAAAAAAATTACAAAAATTTTTGCTAACTCTTTTTTCCAATTTTAAGAAATTTACTTAAAAAATAATAATTATATTTACATGCGTACACTAAAGTAAATTGTAACTTTTTTTTTTTCCTTGGATAAAACATGCACATAATATACATAAATATGTAAAAAACAAAAATTTTTTTATTTTTTTTTCTGATATTTAATATTTTTATGCGTATTTATTAAATTGAAATAAAATAATTTACCAACCGTTGTAGATAATTGTAAAAATTCATGCTTAGATACACACATATATATATATATATGTATCATATGTACATATACATATATACATGTGCAAATTCCATTTCATATTTCTCAAACTTATGCATATGTATATTTACTCACGTTTCTTTTTGGAAAGTTAAAGAACAATTTTTTTATAAATCACTTGTCGTTAATTGTATTTATGAAAGTTTATGAAAATTAGGTATAGATAGCCGCTTGGTTGGTTTTTATACATGAGCATGTTAAAGCGTGCAATTCATTGTTCGAATTTATTTACTATTATTATATTTAAAAAAAAGAAAAAGAGGAGAGAAAACAAAGGAAGATAAAAGCAACTTAAAAGTAACGATGACTTAATTAACATGTTGCGGTTTTCTAAGGATTTCTACCAGAAGTGGTAGATAATAATAGGACTTGCTTTTCAATTAAGGTTACCAAAGAATGGTTGGTCAAACTTCATTGTATATTTTTACTTTGTTTTATTTTAAATTTTGGTTTGATCAAAAAGTAACGAGAATTTTTGTGTTTTTTTTTATATATATATCATCGAAACACGACGAAATTGAGTCTTGCAAATTGAACACAAGAAAACAATACGGACAAACGAACGGTCAGGCTTAAGTCGAGTCGATCAGAATCACTTTCTGAATCGATCGATATAAGAAAAAGTGAGCCTATTTTAATACCGCCTGACCGTTACATACAGCCGCACAAATTGAATATACTCTTGCACTACAGATAGCGTAGAAAATAGGACACTATGTACAAAATTCTCGTTACTTTTTGATCAATCAACATTGAATCAAAAAATCAACAATTGAGATGAAATAAATATTTGATAATAATATATCAACTTATAATATTTCCCCATTGAGTTAATTTAAATGATGCTATGATGATTTCTAATAAGGTCTCAAACTTGGTAAAAATGAACCAATGCAGTAGGTCTCATGTTTTTATAATAAAATTATATTAAAATGTTTAATTGAAATTTTTTTTTTATATTATAATTTTTTGTTTTTATATAATTTTTTGAAGTAAATTCAATCTTAAATTCATTGAAAGCAAGGCCTACAAAAAGAAAATGTCCCGAACTCAACGGTAAAATGAATTAAAACCTAATGGTCGAGCTAATTGTGGCAAAAATGCCCTGTATTACTCCGCTGTCACTTATTCAAAATTCACTTATTATATGGTCTCTTTCTTAATAGGTTTCGTCTATTGTACCTTTTTTTTTTTAAATATTATTTAAAAGCCCGCAACTACAGATTAAGATCGTCGGTCATTAAAAGGACAGAGGATCAGATAGACTGAAAATGTTTCAGGAAACAATTTTTGAAAAGTTAAATCTCTAGCCGTTAACTACATCCACAAGCACTTAATATACCTTTCTCTTCGACTTAGGCTGCAGAGTGCAACTATGTAAAAAATTTCCTTTAAAATCTTAATTAATGATACTTTAACTTTATATTTTCATCTCACTTATATTTTCCAAAGTAATCGGCTTTTATAGCAAAATATTTTTATCGCATCATGTTATAAAATGTAAAGTTTTCGGACACTTTAGATAACACAGTTTTTTGATTGCAATGGAATCGGATAAATTAATGCTTTCTGCATCTGGTGATTATTTGCATTGAAAGTAAATGGACCCAGCGTCCATTTCTCATACTTCATTTCTTCACAAAATGGGTAAAAGAATAAAAAGGATAAAGAATAACATAATGCATCACCTTCGGACACAGTCTTATTTTTTGGAAGCATATATTAACGAAGAGTTATTCCCAAATCAAAAGAGTGGATCAAAAAACGTGATAAATGAAATTCGACCAAGTAGCCACGTACTTCGCCATATCTAAACATACCCACAATCTGAAAAGAGTGTTAAATGTACGGCGGAGAGGAGGCTTGAATGCCTATAATTTCGACACTGTTTACTAAAGTTTTTTCAAGTCTTTTATCTTCATGTCTGATTTAATTTTTTTTAATTTTTTTAAAAATGCAGCACTGCATTCGGGAATAGATTTTCTAGAAAGAAACCTTTTTATAAGTGAAGTTGTAACGAGCCGACTGCTAGTGTAATATAGTTTAAGAGTTAGAAATCAATTTGCTTTGGTTTTTTCTACCAAGAAGGCGACGCCTTTCGATTTCCTTTGTTACGTGATGTTCAGAGAAATAGATATAATAGAATTCATTTAGTCTGCCTATCCTCCTGTCTACAGTTAAAATACTTACGCCCCAAGAAACTTATAGTCTTGGCTAATATTGCGCAAGCCAAAACTGAAAATGTGCGCAATCGGCAAAAAGCTGTAATTGTGGTGGACTGCATACATTAGTATATAATTGAATGGAGTCGGCTTACAGACGTAGGCCATCAGATAAAAGCTGCTAGTATATCATGAAATGTTTGCATAAATATTTGCTCGGGCTAGTTAAGTACCATTAGAAAAATGCTTCCAATACATCCTGTTACGCGGCCATGTCCGAGGTGGTCGATAACAGGAAGACACCCTAAAAGATTCTGGTCTGACGTTTACGAAGTTTTATGGAGATTAAGATCATCTATGTAACTAATTAAGATTGTGATAGGTTAGTGCAGATGGAGGTCAATAGACGAAACCTTATAACTGATAGTCTACCAGGAAGTCATCCCATAAATATTTGTTCTGACAAGCTAATTTTCAATATGAAAATTATTTCAATTGCCCATGTTGCACGTTCATCACTGAGGTGGTAGAAAATAGAAAGTCGCTCTAAACAATTCATATCTAAAACTTACGAAGTTTTGTGGAGACGTTATATCATTAAGACCATTAAGTCGTGACGGGCTACGTACCTTAGTGTAGAAGCAGGTGAATAGACGTAAACGTATAACTGATAGTCTACCAGGGAGTTATCCCATAAATATTTTTTCGGCGTAGTTAAAGACCAATGCGAAAATGGGCTTAGAGAGACTCGTCATAAAATATTCATATTACGAAGTTCAGCTTACGAAGTGTTATGATGGCACTGTGAAAACCGCCTATTCGTTCATTCAAAATTGTGTTGGGTTACATACATTAGTTTATAATGGGACGTAAGTTCACTTCAGACTTCATAGTTGATAGTCTATCATGAAATGTTTCTCTAAATATTTTCTCGGGTCAGTAAGAAAGTGATTCCAAAAGACCACATTACGCGGTCTTGCTTAGGAAAATTCCATTAACGTAAGATGATGGAGGGGCAGGGAGTCGCCCTAAAATATGCGTATCTGCTTACGAAGCTTTATGATGATATCATTAAGACCATGTATTTATCTACTTAACCTCTTCAGAAAAGATTTTTTATTTTTTATTTCTAAAATATTACAACAAAAATCGTCATTAGTGCCTCATCCCATAAGATTTGTACTTCTCTTATTGAAAGAATAATTTAATATTAAATTTTTCTTCTTCTTATTAACGATAGTAACTTTAATGGGAAAAAATGTCAAAATCCAACTCTATAGCCAAGTGCGTCTTTTACAGCATTTTTGATCACGTCTGGTATAAATTTTTAGAGATTTCTTTTATTTAATGGTTTTCTTAAAAATTCGAAAAAAAAATTTGTTTTTATCTGAAATGTTTTAAAAACTATTTGCATATATTTATAATCCCACCGAACTATTATGTTCATGGTTTCATAATGGAACTGACGAGAAAATTTTTGCTCAAAATCCTGAAAATAATTATTTTTTAATAAATAAAAACTAACATATCATTTTACGTTATATCAAAAAAAAAAAAAAAATAAATAAATATATATCTTTTTTGTCTGTTTACTAATAATTTGCTTTATTTGATCATAGAAAACCATTTTATAAAAATTGTCTGTTAAAGATTTCCGAATTAGCTTTGAAACAATAGAAGGCAACAACAAGAAAAATAAATAAATAAATAAATGCATAAAAAAAAAAAATTAAATTAATAATCAAGTAAACAACGTTAGTTAACACATTAGACTATTTCTCAAATGCGCTACACTTGAAAAGAATAAATAAATAAATAATAAAAATTTATATAATTAAATACAAGTGTTGTTATATTTATTTTAAAATAAAAGGATAATAAATAAATATAATAAGATTATTACGGTTTATTAACTAACTATACTCAATTCACAAAAAAAGAAAAAAAAAAAAAACCAAGAAAAACAAGAAAAAGAAAAGAAGAAAAAAAAATGAGAAATTTTTAAATCTATCTGCAAAACAACTATTTTTCTATTTAAGAAAACCCACTCACTCACTCATACAGTAACAATAATTTATGCTAAACTGCAACTTAAGCTTAATGTCAACTATAAGTAACCAAACTTTAGAAAGCCTTCAAATGGAAAAAAACAAGACTTTTTTTTTTTTTAAATCAAGTACGCGTTATTATTGATAAAAGAAAAAACAAAAAGAAATAATATATTATATGTAATATTTAAAATTTATATAAAAATCATTTTTTCAACAAGTGAAAAAAAAT